TAACCATGGAGCCTCCAGCACAATGACAGAAACTTAATATTGAACCAAACAAATGGTTTGGGATGAAAATGCTTTAAGGAGTCTTTTAACGATTTGTAAATGTGATATGTTACAGACTAGAACTAAAAATAAACTATGGATTCTCACAAATGTGGCTAGATGTTGCGAGAAGTCTATATTAAAATACTTTTATCCCCATAACAGGGCATTAAGATATCACAAAAAAAAGTTTCCATCCCATATTACGTACCTTAATGTTGATAAACTACAGTTGATCAAGTCAGGACCAATCTTGCTGGTGTTCAATATTTGTCCCAGCTAGGTGTAAAGGAAAAACTATGTATTTATTGCTGGTGGTAAAACATGATTGCCCATTATTTTATGAAAATTTAATGTGGAAGAGCTACTTGGGGTAAGTATGCATTTGTCTTCTTACCAAATTAACCAAGAATCGTTGTGTTGAGCTGAAAATCCTTGATGTGGGATTATCCATCTGTGGCCTATAGATCAAATTAGTTGCAATGAAGTTGACCGTAAAGCATTCGGTTGCCACTGGAGGTTTGGAAGTGGGAGAAACAGCTGGAAGAGGAATAATGGATGTCAGATACAGAAATCAGAACTGATAGTATATAATCTATTCATCAATCACTGTTTTGTATCTTATAGTTCCTGTCATGAACGTGGGGTTCAGTGGTGCATTACAGAGGTTTAAGGACAAGCATATCCTTTTCACAGTTTGAAAGTAAATGTTATTCTTGATGTGTTGTGGGTCCTGAAAAGGGCAAAAAGGACGAGTAACGGCTGGAAACCAAGTTGTACCAAAGAAAGATTGATGGGTTAAGCCTGGAGAACAAAAGACTCAGAAGGACAATGGTAGCACTTTTCAAGAATGTAATGGGATACTATAGAGAAGGGAATCGGCTGCTCTGTAAAGTCCCAAGATGCGGAATAGGTTCACAAGATAGATTCTTCTTCAGTGTTACAGAAATATTCCTAATGGTCATAATCAGAGTTGGAATATCAGAAATCAGTATCCACCCTCTGTTTGAAGAGCTCTACTGAAAACACCACTTTGGGAATTGACATGGTGCACTGGGTGACATCTTTTACTAGAAAATCTTCTCAATACTTAATGTGCTTCTATATTGCTGTGGTTTCCACCTATTGTTTGTGGCAAAAGCTTCTAGGGCACAGTGCTTTACTTTCTCCGCAATCAATATATTTGGGACAGGGTTTTACATTTTAGGTTGTGTACCACAGTTGAAGTCGATGGCTCAAGAAACGTCTGTAAAGGTGTACTTACTGGTCACAGGTGGTGCTTCATGATAATCTGAAATGGAAAGAGAGGTGCAAAAATGGAAAGAGAGTCATAAAAGAAGGCACAAGAGAACACTGGTATGGGAAGTCACTCTCAAGTTCTTCACCATGAGAAAAAGAGACGATAAATTCCTCCTATATACATCCAACTACTCCATCTCAACGAATCTCAGATAGTAGAGTTGCAAATTATTGTGAAGGTCTCCAAATAGCAGCAGTCTTTAGTTAAAGTAGGCCACTCTGACTAACTCTATATAAAGTGTCCACTTAGTACAATGGTTTCTTGTAAGAAGGTCCTGGGACAGTGTCAGAAAAAAATCATCAAGAAGAACAGAGCCAGCATGTCTGGACTGCAAAATTCCAAATGACCATGATGGGCTAATAAACATGTTGCCATCTACTGGTCATCTAAATTTCTGTAGCCTGAATTTGGTAGAGCTAAAGAAACTCTTGTACCCCTCTGCCATCCTCCATCGTGTGTCACAGAGAGGAACTACCACTTAAGTTACATAACACTGGTCAAACTCGATTCAGTGCTGGTCAGCCTCATAATCTCTTTAGTCATGAAAGAAATCTCTGCTTCTTACCATTAACAAAAAGGCTGTTTGGGTCCAGGCTGTATCTCTCCAACTTGGTGAAACCGTTGGTCTCATTTAGGAATTTGCGATATATGTTCACTCGATCAAAAGGGGGAGATGTGGTGGTTTTACGGTAGCAGCAGACACTGTCTACTCCGGTGTTCTCTCCCTGATTCACAGATCTGAGAATGAAAAGACACAACTTGAGACATATTCAGAGAAGCTGTAGGGGACCTTGGATGATTTCACAGAAGTAAGGTCACATTTGGATCTATTGGCAGACCGAAAAGTAAAAGGTGAGATCTTCCAGTTCAGACTTAATAAAGGTCTGCTGCATTATTGCAACCTTGAGCATTTTGTTGACACTGGTTTGTTCTCTGACCATGCCAACTCACATTTTTCTTTACCCCTGTTTCACTGTTTGGGATCCCCTCTGGGTATTTCCTAGCTGATTTCATTCTTGAATGGCCCCCTACAGTAGACAGACACAGTTCTATCACCTTCTTTTTGGAGTTTTTCAGACAGCATTTTTAATCTGGTGTTTTTAAATTCCACTTCAAAACTGATTTTGGGAAGGCATGGGAGAAGGTAACCATGGAGCCTCCAGCACAATGACAGAAACTTAATATTGAACCAAACAAATGGTTTGG